GTATATTTTTTTTGACGTTGGAAAATGTGATTTTATCGACCCTAGTGGGAAATCTTCTGTAATTTTGTGTTCCAGTTAAGATATTTAGGATAATTAGACGTGTCGACCTTTATTTTTTTAGTGGAAAGCAGAATGCCTCTTAAATAGCCCGATGCAGCCCTTCACATTGTGTCGAATCGCCGGTATAGACTTCTCAGGACTGTGGGGGCCGAATGATCAGTGAAAGTAGGCTAACCTACAGGACTGTACTCAAGACTAAAGTCAAGTTCAAAGCAATGAGACGCCGAGTCCGCTGTTGTGAAATTGCTGTTGAGGGCGTGCACGCATGCGCAGATTGACACAACCTGAAAGCTGGTATCACAGAGAATAGAAATTGTGAAATTTCGTCATAAATGCGTAAAATCTGGAAAAATATATGATTTATATGTAATCGGACAACATTTTGCGATAGTTCAGTGTCTTATAAGCACTCGTAACTGGTTTGGACAAGGTATTTTGTATTTTGAGGTGTGATTTTCGGCTGCTAGAAAAATGTGTGCACATTTTGTTTCCTCCCTTGTGCAAGTATATAGTGCAAGCTGATCGGCTGGAAACAAGTATTAGTGATTTTCGTGGTTTCGGAGCGTGATGATTAAATTTAATAACATATGCTTGCTTTGCATTACTAAACTGTTCTAAAATTCTATAATTTCTATTATTTTGAGCAAGGACAAGGTCCTGTACCGGGACATAGCTCGGTCCCATAGACGTCCATGCATTGAGACGAATAGATCGTCAGGCCCCTGTGCTTCAGTAGCATCCTGATACGAAATTACTGGTATTTGCTGTGGTTAAACTTCAGTATTCGTGAAATTCACGATAACGTAAAGAATAATCGAGTCAACAAACAACTAAAATTGAACTGCACGCTGATGTAATTCGTGGTCAGTCGGCGTCATGCCAAAACGTGCACACATGTCATTCAGTCGTAACATTTACAGCTAGACATAATCATCTATGAGAACTAGTGAAATCACGTGACGCCACGACACACGCCGCCACTTAGATATTCAAAATAATTTTACAAATCTATTGAGTATGATTTGTTTTACCTGCCGAACAGCGAGATTTCGCCATCCCGTCAACCTGGAAGCCGCCATCTTTAAAATCTGCCGAGGATCATGGGAGTGACCGCATGTGACCTTCCCAAACAACGTGACGAAGCGCATGTGCAGAAGTTTTCCCATAACGATCAAAGGGCATCGCCCGAACCGCATGGTTTCGCTAAAACCGTCAATTGGCCAGCGACACAAACATTCACAGCTAACAAACACAAGTTTCATTAGAATACTTTATTATCACCGTAAAGAAAGTTTGACATTCCTATTTTTGGTATATAAATGATAATAAGGATTTGGTTAAACAACAACTTAAAAGCGGCAGCAGAAGATGATTTCAGATGCTGATTTCAGTTTTTGTGTCACCCAGTTTCGATATTCTAATTATAGGCAGTTAAGTCTAAATTTTCCCAATGTTTTTGTTGCTTATCTGTCATTCAACTGTTTCTCAATGAATGGTGCACTGAATAAATAATTTAAATATTCTCATTTTTTAATTAGTTGGTTGCATGTCTACATGATGCCGCAGTATACTTATATTCAGTAAGTGTCAACAGAAACATGGGTTGAATTTTTCAGTATATGTGTTGTAAATACTGAACACTCCATATCTCTCCAGCATCAGTAAGGATTGGTAGTTGTGTTGATTCGACGATTTTTTTTTGTATTTAGAAGTGATTGTTCAAAATTTTCCAGCTCGGTGAGATCCATCGATACTTTACTATTGAATGTGTTTCTGTGTTTTGTAGCCCCCCCCCCCGGGGGGGGGGGCTACTTCCACATTAAATGGGTAAGGGTGTGAAGCCCATCTCTCGAAAACCATACTCACTTCTAAACCATTTTTTTTCTATTTATATACCCACTTCTAAACACAAGTGTTTTCAGGGAAAAAAAACACCCAGCTCACAACTTTTGCAACCAGTGAGCGCATCCGGGCGATGCATTTTATTCAGCCTTTTCCAGTATTTGGCTTTGAATATAAGGATCTGTGAAAAAGTAAATAAATGCTACACATTTCTAAACCAAACCATTGATAAATGGCTACCCACTTCTAAACAAAATAACGTGAAATGACACCCCAGTCGGGCGGCACATACCCGTATTGCAATTCTATGGAAGTAGCCCCCCCCCCCCCCGGTGGGGGGGGGGGGTTGTAGCCATGTTTGACAAATATCGATTTCGTCTCCTCTTACTAACTTCAAGACCCCATTTTTGGACTTAGGCACGAAATAAATCTATTGATTTCTGCAGTCCTGTAGTGATTTCTGACATCATTTGCGTAGAGCAGACTTGGTATTGTTTGTTATTCTGTGTTGGCGCATTCGTGTTATTCATTTCATCAAGTAGATCATTGATGTAAATGTTGAGGATGAGGATGGGACTCAAAGATCACCATTGTTTTACCTTATTTCGTAGTTCACGTGCAGATGCCGTGTGACTAATTTCAGAATACTTTTCTTGTTTTGATACATGGCTTTTATGACATTGTACACATTTCTCTTCACGTATTTTTGGTCCAGTTTATGTATTCCATATATGCTGTCAACACATTATCTCAGATCAATAAAACAACACTAGAGCTTTTTTTTTATTATTCCAGCGGTATCCTCCTTGAGATGGATGGATGTTGTCTTCTAGATAATGTATTAGTATGTTGTTTAATATGGAGCTAGAAAGTTTGCTTATAGTTTTGCCTCTATAGTTTTTTTTATTCAATTAACAACGCCAGAAAAAACAGAACTAACAAGTACAACACAATTACAAATACAACAAATTATCAGAGTAAAGTGAAGAACATAACATTTTACTTATTCGACTGGAAAATCACTCCATTTATTCACATGATGCTCCATAATATGTTTATGAGTTGCAATGTATGCTTTTAATTTTATAAATATTCAACACTAAATGAAACACTACTATGAAACTGGGTAAGGCATCTAGCATTATATATAGCCCATTAAGCAAACAATATAACCTGATTTGTAATAGTACTAACCTTTCCAACCCCAAGTAGTAATTGATGTTTATCTGGGAGACTGACTAGGTTTAAACTTTTGTTCCAGGTATGAAATACTTTACCCCAAAGCTCTTTTGAATATCGTCTAAAAATAAATGTACCGGGTAGTAAAGTTTCATCTGTTTTTTTTTTACAAAAAGTACACAGGGGAGATGAGGTTTAAGTTGAGGACATTTTAAATGAAATACAATTAATATATTGAATATCTCTCAAAATTTTACAATACAACGTCATAATATGACAAACTGAAAACAATTAGAACCGAGCGTTGTGTTCGGGGATCTGGGAACTTCGTCTCGCTTGCCCGAGGTCACTTACACGGAGAGATACCAGATTCGATCCAAATGAATACACATACATTTATTAGTTAGTTCAGCTTTATTCACACAAGAAGTCAGCTGAGGTAACCCCTCGCTGCACCGTTCTCTCGTCCCCCCTCTCACAAAGGTTAGAAACTCTCTATATAAAAGTCAAAACAAAAAGGCGTGACGGAGTAAACATGCGATCAGCCAATCGCTGCAGTCGTTGGCACGATCACGTGACTACCAGGGATGTGTCTCACGGTTGACGCCTTGCAAAGTTGCCACTACTAAATACAATAAGTGAACAATCTATTTATCAAATTCATGTTATATATGTTTATACCTCCATCTTAAATATGCAAGTTGTTGATTCTAAACAATAGTCTAACGGCGTGTGAACCGAATGTGTGAACGTGAAGTCGCTATCATAACACTTCACTGACTTAACTCAGAATTTCGCCCTACAGAAATATTTTTACAACATATCGAAGTGCTTACCCATCAAGCCATTTAAGTGCGGTTTAACATTAACGTGCTCCAGTCCACATTTTAAATGGCAAAATCTATTTTAGCAACAATCTCATATGACTTCAAATATGGCCAAATATTTATATTTTGATCGCCTTTTTTCATACATTTAATGTGTTCAGACGGCTACGCTGGCTCGAGCCGAAACTAACAATAACTAAACGATTCCGATTTATGTCATACACAGGTCAATAATCCCAGGACAACAGTGAACTCGACCGTAGTTTTGGCTCCAAACTGTGTTTACAATTGACTTAATGGTGGAAATTATTTTTCCAGTTCCATACCAACTATCAATACTGTTTATTAATAGAAACCACTATTTTGCTTATATAGTGAAGAACAAAATAAAAACATTAACAATACGAATGCCACGACTTAGTTTTGGATTCGAGAAAATTGCAATCGCTTGGTAAACTAAGGCTACTGTTTGCAGAACTTCTTCACATCATTAGCAAATGTAGAGAAGTTAAATGGTCTCAAAAATGGCATAACATCGAGTTCCACCATCTTGCGAGTTGATTCAAAGCATTTACCCATAATATCAATCATGAAACCAAATATACGGTCAGAATTGTCAAACCGCTTATCAAAGGCTACTGAACAAATAACGTTGGATACACTTCGGTTGATTATAGAGTCTGTATCCACAGGTTTTCCTCGGATATTCTAGATTAATTGAGTCAATTAAAATAAACCACAAAATAGATTCTATTACAAAGTGTCAGACCTAATGAATATTGCAAAACAATATGGCGCCAAATAACCATATAATTTAAAACGCACTAGAAATTCTTGACATTGAAACCGATAGTGATAGAAGATAGTGAAAGCTTACAGTTGAGTTTCATATTCCTTTTACTAAAAGTGTGTTAGCCAATCGACCATCCTTGGTACATTGTGTTTTTAATATCTTAGGGGAAAATACTAATATGGCACTTATGACACATTACGACACGGGTCAGATATTTCTTTCTTCGATGACAACTTGATATGGACGGGGAACTAATGTTAAGCCGAAAACACCATCAGTGCTAGGTTTCTTGGTTCCGACTGGTAAACTGAACTTGAATTGGTTTATCATGGCTGAGAAGTATAGAAATAATTCATGTTTCGCCAACTGTTCACCCATACAGACACGCCGACCTACAAAACAGAAAAGGTGATATTGACATACATCTCTCAAAATATGGTACTCGACAAGTAACCTGTAGAATACTGTGTGGGTAATATTTTTTATATTGATTTTTGTTGCATTTGCAGCAAATAGTTACCAAACAATGATAAATCTATAGGATTGAATATACCTCACAGCTGGCTTCACATGCATTGTTCCTAGTTCATATGGTGCTTACACCAGGATTTAATTACAGCACCTAGGCGGTATGTGGTTACAGCTTAATGTTCGAGTAATCGCAAGAAATTGACATGACAATAGAAATTCATTAAAGACTGCCACTCCCATGCAATTAACAGCGAGTGAAATTCCTGGGATTGAAACATATATTTTGAAGTCACTGATGTAGGCAACGAATAACTGCATGTTGACATAAAGACGAGGTAGTTTATTTAATCAGTGGTAAACTAGAGGCTGAAATTAT